TTTTTTTTATCAACAAGGTTCGGAGTCTTGTGACTATAATCCCATTGCTATGATGCGATTTCCTAGCTTTTTTAAAGCTTTTTTCAATAAATCAAATTATTACTAAAAGTGCAAATAAAACTCTGATAAGGTGGAGATTTGAATGTGAACCTATCTTTCAATCATCATGTTTGTCTTTCAAAAATTGGTAAACCGTGCAATCTTGACGAATCTGTAAACATTTCAAATTCCGATCATTCACAGCCTCTCATGTCTGATTTTTTCCTCTATAACATTATTTCTAATCTTCTTTGCTTTTTTCCGAAGAACAGGGTTCAACATGGGTCAACAGGCCGAAAGAGCCAATGCGGCTTCAAAATGGCCGAAGATAGTGGGTATTCCTATAGCTGCTATGGTTCTGTTAATACTATTCCCTGTTCTTATTCCTGCTGTACTTGTTTGTGGAGTTGTGGCTGCTCTTCTCTACAAAAACAAACCATGTAACCCTGAAGATGTGAGTTTTTTTTGATAGTTTGAGTTGCTGGAGTTTATTGAGAACAGTTTCTTTAAGGTGCGAAGATTTTTTGATGGTTTCCGCATTGGAGGACATCGTGGTGCACCTAAATCATTTCCCGAGAATGGAATGGCAGGTTTCTATCAGGTTTGTCCGTTTAGGTTAAGTTGCTTAGGTTCTATGCTGATTTATCCCATTCTGTCGCTTCCAGGCTAAAGCTGACGGTGCTGATCTCATCGAATTTGACGTGGCACTGACGAAAGACGGTGAAGCCGTGCTTTTACATGACGATGACCTCGATCGAACCACAAACCTTACCGGTCCGATACGTGATAAAACTCTGGCTCAGCTTGCTCAAGCTAATATTAGTGCCCACTTCACCAGATCAACGTACAATCGCTTCTTGGCTTGCTTTCCATTCTTTAAATGTCGCGGTTTCAGTATTTCTTGTAAATTTTGCAGGAAAGGCAACCTACCGCCGGTAAAGGACGAAGGAATTCCAAAATTGGAGACGGTCGTAAAGTGGGCAGTGGAGAACAAAATGAAGATGCTTTTCGACGTGAAAGATTCGGATCGAGAGGTGATACTTAACCCTAAGGCTTGGGTTTTCCGAATTTTTGTTGTTATACATTTTAACAACTTATTTAATCAGCTCGTAAAAATCATCGGCGACCTGTTCGAGAAGTATCAGCTCTACGACAAAGCCATTGTATGCAGCTTCTTTCCCTGGGTCGTCTATTTTGTAAAACAAGGAAATCAAAAAATTCTTAGTGGTAGGTACTCCCTCCAAGGTTTTATACACTTATGCTATCAAAAATGAAAATGTCCAGGCCTCACTTGGCGTCGAAGATTCTTTTCATACAAAGACCTCGAGAATACGGTACCTCGCTATAGTGGACCCAAACACTATCTTTTTGTTCTGCTTGATATGATCCATGTGCAATT